ATCTGTGCAAGGATCAGTGTGTTGACTCCATGCAGAGTTCAAGATTCCTCCAGTTTTCTACAAACTGAGGAAATTGTACATCCTTTATGTGAAAAAGGAAAACTCTTGGAAGCGTCTTTGTTTTTGTCTCATGTGATCCAAGCCCTGGCTTCTTATGGCAGAGTTCCCTGCTTATAATCCACGCTTTAAATGAGAATCAAATGTTTGTGTATGGTTTTCCACACTGTGAGTGTGCTGTTTATTTGGAAATGTATGGAATGTTTCTGGACAATGCCAACCAGCTCTGTGGAATGAAACCTTAGTGAATCTTTGGCCTCATTGAAAGGCTATTTATATGAGTGATTGGAGACCGTTTGTTGCTGGCTTGTTTTATACTTAAGAGGAAAGCCGTTTGTCAGAATATATGCAGCTGACTTAGTTCAGTTAATGTGAAGTATTTGTGGCAGCTAGCTAATCATTTTAAATCACACCATCAGACGAGGGACCTCTCTGTGGATTCAAACACGTTAATATTTTTGTTTATTAAATGGAGGATGATTAATTTCAAACTATTTAAAAACTCTACATTCTCTCAAAATGATCCTGTTTGCTATTAATTATAATGACTATAAAACAGCATGTGTACATTAATGTTGGCTAACCCTAGTGCTTAGATAGTGGTTTTTAATTAAGTGTTTTCAACCAAAATATTTTCCTCTCTGCTTGCTTCTACAAAAACAAGCTGCACAAAGACAATCACACATAGCAGAAAATGTAGAACTGTGTAGCGTAGCAAATGGCCAAGTGTTTCTTCGAAATGACCAGAAGTTAATTTTTAACTTACAGGCCAAACTTCTTCATGCAGGTCAATGTGACACAGTGGTGCCGATACGAGGTCTATGAACTTGACCCAATATTCTTAACTTATCCTGTGGTATGTCAGAAGTCATCAAGGCTTCAAAAGACGCAGGACTTCTTATCTGTCCTCTTTGGATAAAGTTTATCTTGCCTGGCTCATTAAATGACCTTATAATTTAATATGTTTATGTAATCATATTTTGTTGAATGGACATTGTGTTTAAATGCAGTGTTTTAACAATCTGTCCAATACTCTACATAATCAATAATGGGTTAACATGAATGTTATTCTAGTAATGATTTATTTCAGATCTTAAATTACACCAGATTAGTATGTGTTGAATTTGATAATATTAATCTATCAGTATGAACACATTAATGTTACCATATTATTGGTAATGGTTAATACAGTTGTGGTCAGAAGTTTACATACACTTGTAAAAAATATAATATAATGGCTCTACTGAGTGTCCCGTTATTTCTAAAACTCTGATTTTTCTCTGATAGAGTGATTGGAACAGATACTTCTTTGTCACAAAAAACATTCATGAAGTTTGGTTCTTTAATGTCTTTATTATGGGTTAACAGAGAAAAGTGATCACATTTGCTGGGTCACAAATATACATACAGCAACATGATCTAGCAATTTAGGTGACTTAGAAACGTGTCAGTGAACTGAGCTTCATAGCATGGCCTCTTAACTCCTTGTGAGTGATTATGAGTGACTACAGCTGGTGACTTCTCTTAGGCCAGGTAAATAGGGCTCATTGGATACAAACGCCCACAAACGCTACAATGGGAAAGTCAAAGGAGCTCAGCATGGATCTGAAAAAGCGAATTATTGACTTGAACAAGTCAGGAAAGTCACTTGGGGCCATTTCAAAGCAGCTGCTGGTCCCAAGAGCAACAGTGCAAACAACTGTTTGTAAGTATAAGGTGCATGGCACTGTTTCATCACTGCCAAGATCAGGAAGAAAACGCAAGCTATCACCTGCTGCTGAGAGAAAATTGGTCAGGATGGTAAAGAGTGAACCAAGAATCACCAAAAAGCAGATCTGCCAAGAATTAGAAGCTGCTGGAACACAGGTGTCATTGTCCACAGTCAAACGTGTTTTGCATCTCCATGGACTGAGAGGCTGCCGTGCAAGAAGGAAGCCCTTGCTCCAAAAGCGGCACCTTAAGGCTCGACTGAAGTTTGCTGCTGATCACATGGACAAAGATAAGACCTTCTGGAGGAAAGTTCTGTGGTCAGATGAAACAAAAATCGAGCTTTTTGGCCACAATGCCCAGCAATATGTTTAGAGGAGAAAAGGTGAGGCCTTTAACCCCAAGAACACCATGCCTACAGTCAAGCATGGTGGTGGGAATATTATGCTGTGGGGCTGTTTTGCTGCCAATGGAACTGGTGCTTTACAGAGAGTAAATGGGATAATGAAGAAGGAGGATTACCTTCACATTCTTCAACATAACCTAAAATCATCAGTAGGAAGGTTGGGTCTTGGGCGCAGTTGGGTGTTCCAACAGGACAATGACCCCAAACACACATCAAAAGTGGTAAAGGAATGGCTAAATCAGGCTAGAATAAGGGTTTTAGAATGGCCTTCCCAAAATCCTGACTTAAACCCCATTGAAAACATGTGGACAGTGCTGAAGAAACAAGTCCGTGTCAGAAAGCCATCAAATTTAACTGAACTTCACCAATTCTGTCAAGAGGAGTGGTCAAAGATTCAACCAGAAGCTTGCCAGAAGCTTGTGGATGGCTACCAAAAGCGCCTAATTGAAGTGAAAATGGCTAAGGGACATGTAACCAAATATTAGCACTGCTGTATGTATATTTGTGACACAGCAAATGTGATCACTTTTCTCTGTTAACCCATAATAAAGACATTAAAGAACCAAACTTCATGAATGTTTTTTGTGACAAAGAAGTATCTGTTCCAATCACTCTATCAGAGAAAAATCAGAGTTTTAGAAATAACGGGACACTCAGTAGAGCCATTATATTATATTTTTTACAAGTGTATGTAAACTTCTGACCACAACTGTATATTCATTTCACATAAATGTTTGACATTTTGCTTCACATTAAGAATATAACCTCCCTAAGTATCTGAGTGAAGGAGGGGTGGACGCCCTTAAACTTGTCAAATTCTGATTTGTCTAAATTTGTAAACACTAGTTAATAATAGCTAGTTCACTTCCTGGACTAGCCAGTTCTCATCCAGCTACCTGGTTAGGCCGACCGGGTGAGCAAATCTCTTGGAACCATCCTTATTTTTGACTCAAGGTCAAAGCCTCTTTGCAACGCTTGCAAGTGGCATCAGACGCTATCATCAGACGTGGAACGTCTAGCTAGCAAACCCTGGTAGCATCTTAAGGCAGGTGATAATTGAATTCAAAAGGAACTACAACTCTTTTAGATTTAAAGAGTGAATCTATCCAGTGACATCACCAATCTGCCGCAAAAATAAACAACAATGAACAAGAATCTGCTTCTAGACCTGCAGAAAGAGAGAAGAAGAAAAAAAATGGGACACAACAACAAAACATCAGGAGCAAGCTATCACTGCATCAACCTGATGATGAAATATATAATCAACATTGTTTAACTGAACAATCACACGATAATAAATCACAGTGCATTAAGTGCCAACCACAGCCTTAAGACCTGTGTTTAACGTGCCCAAGCCCATACTTATGAGAGCACCACGTGAGCACCTGTGTGTGTACACGCACTTGTTTATGTAAGGTTTCTCTATAGGAGCGTCCAATTGAGAGTGTGAGGGGCCACAGATTTGTCCCCCAAAGATGAGTAGGAGACGGAGGGAGCTCCAAGTCCCAGAGATCCAGGCGCTGCCCCAGAACACAGGAACTCCAGGGAGACTGCGACCAGAAAAGCCCCTGCCCCCCTCGAGAGGCGCAGAGGATCGCCCCGGGGGGCCACAACCAGCAGCCGGCAGAGTCCCGGGAGATACCAGCGGCAAGCCCACAGGCCCGCCCGCAGCCTCCCACCCCCGAGCCGGCCGAGCCCGGGACCCAGCGACCTGGGACCCAGGGGCGACCACCCCCGCCAGGGAGCCAGCAGAGCCCAGGGACCCAGATCCCACCAGACAGCCACCGGGATTGGTCAGGCAGATGCCAAAAATCTTAAACTCCCTGACACGGGAGCCACGACCCAGGCAGACCAAGGCACTGCACTCCACACCAGGTGTGGGAGGGGGAGGGGAGACGAAGATGTATGTCATCAAAAGAAGTCCCAGGAGAAGGGAGGAGTCAAAGGCCCCACCTGACATGTACAGTCATACACAGTCACACTCTCCCTCCCTCATGCTCACACATGCACATACAACCAAAGACTTACAAAAATGCACGCCGGACACCCACACATGTTCCCCATTCACACCCTATTCACTCTGGTCCCGGTACTGCTGCACATGGGGTACAACCATCACCGGTTCCACAGTTCGACCCTTTCTGCTGGGGCAGAACAGGAAGAATTTTTTGCCTGCAGCAAAAATAGAACACCATCCTATCTTAAGCGAAGCACCACGGCCAGTTTGGATCAACCTTATAGACTAAAATAGATTTTAATTTGAAGCAGCATTGTCCCACTGCAGTTTCGCACCACCGATGCCCCAGTGTGGACCGGGCATTAGCGGTTTGGTGTCTATAAAGCTATCACACTGTGAGCCGGCCCTCATTTGCTTACTGTGCTGGTTTTGATGGATACAAAGGAAAAAAGGTCCTTCATAAAAGACTGGTCTAACAATGCTGCATCTGCTTCCACTTAAGTAGAACATCCTCAAAAACATCAGTGACAAATGTCAGTGACGACACTTGTCACCGTCCACAGATAACCACCATTATCCAAGATCCTGGATATCAGAAACCGTTCTGCTTTCCTGACTCTCACGTCTCAGATGAGACACAATTCTTACTCGAGAGCGCTTCTTGTAACATATGGATCAACTTACTGTGCAGCGTGCTGGGATTTCCCTCTCATCTCGTACCTTGGCTTTCGTGTAAGGAACAGTGACTGCAAGCTTTAAGACGGATTCTGTGTTTGCCAGAAGCTGTAACTCTTTGCCATCTTTTGATACTGACTTCAAATAACACAGATATTTTTTCTTCCATCTCCCCCCATGCCGTGCTCCTGCACCCAGGGAAGGCCTGCATCCTCAAATGTCTGCTGGAAATCCACAAAGTCTTCCGACAGAACGATCCGGCGTACATGCTGAATGATCTGTATATCACAGACTACTGCATCTGGATCCAGAGGGTCAAGTAAGTTCACCTCTACACACACACACACACACACCCTCCTCATCTTGGGAGAATTACCTCCAGAGCCCTGGTGAAGTGCTGCTCAGCCCCTGTGATGCTCTAGTGCTGTAGAAGAGTGAATTAGACACCTCATTTGTGCCAGATGGCTCAGCTGAATGACCGAAAACAGCAGTGTGGTTTGTTTTAAGAACAACATTTCCAGATCTACTCTGTGTGAATAGTGGATGGAGGGCTCCATGTGCAACTCTCCACCAACAAACCTCCTGAAACCAGCCAAATCTGCTTCACTCTCAGATGCTGGAGGTTCAGTTCCTCTCTCCTCCTAGTTCGTATTTTAACATGAATTACACATTTTAAATGTGAGCCTGCGAGCACATTTTTCAGTAATGAGCTCTGTTTTACTCTTGGCTAGGGTTCAGCTGAGTGGTGTGCTCGTCTGGAAAAAAGCCCAGTTGAAAAATGCGCGCCTGATGTTGTAGGCTCGGCGCCCAGATGCAGACACGATAAAAGGTCTGCAGGGATTTAGCGAGATCCCCCTCCTACCCCCAGCTCTGCGTCCTCTCTAGGCTTTTCCATCTGAAGTCTTCAATTCTGCTCCAAAAAGAAGTGGAATGCATGAAATCAATAGCATGGTTGGGGGGGGGGGGGGGGAGACGAGATCCCGTTTATGGGTTCGTGTTGGACGCTTTAAGGTTTGGAGCTTGTAAATTGTTGGTCATGAACACTTCCAGAGATTGTAGTTGTAAATCCATCTGTCGTCCTGTGGAATAAATCTTTCAACAATATTCAAATATGTGCATGTGAAGGAAAGAATTCAGGTATATCTGAAAATCGCTGAGATTATGATTGATTGTGTAAATCTCTTTTTTTAAAGGGACATTTTGTGCAAATACCAACTTTAGCATCCGTTTGTGTCGCTATGTGAGACTCTACTGCTTCTAAAAACACTCCAACATGGAACTCAGCGTTTAGTGTCAGGAGTCATCTGCTTCTAAGGGCCGTTTAAAATGACCCTTATGGTGACATCACAATTAAGAAAGTTAGTTTAGAACCATCCCTCACCTGTTCCAACTGTACATCTCCTTTAAGCCCCATGAGATGTCTAAGCTGCAGCTGTTACACACCTGCTTAAACTCTATCAAAACCTGGATGGCTGGGAGCTTTCTTCAGCTGAATGAAGATAAGACTGAGATCCTCATCTGTGCCCCAGACAAGCTGGTTCCCAAAGTCAGAGACTCTCTTGGTCAGCTTGCTTCCCACACCAAACCTTCTGTCAGGAATCCTGGTGTGACCTTTGACCCAGCTCTCACCCTGGATTCTCATGTCAGTTCTCTTGTTCGCTCTTCCTTCTTCCATCTCAGGAACATTGCTAAGCTGAGTCCCATTCTGTCCCGCTCTGAACTTGAGACAGTTCTCCACACCTTCATCTCCTCACGCTTAGACTACTGTAACTCTCTTTTCACGTGTCTGAGCAGAACCTCCCTGAACCGTCTACAGGTGGTTCAGAATGCCTGTGCTCGGCTTCTGACCAAGTCCTCCAAACACACCCACATCACCCCGCTTCTCCTCCAGCTTCACTGGCTGCCAGTCAACTTCAGGGTTCATTTCAAGATCCTGGTTCTGGTCTATAGGGCCTTACATGGACAAGCACCATCTTTCCTTGGTGATCTTCTTAGTCCCTATACCCCCAGCAGGTCCCTGAGGTCCAGTGACCAAAGCCTACTGGTTGTGCAGCACCAGGCTAAAGGTCAAAGGTGACAGATCATTTGCTGCTGTGGCCCCCAGACTCTGGAACTCTCTCCCTCTGAGCCTGAGATCAGTGGACTCAGTGGTCTCCTTTAAAAAGCAGCTGAAGACTCACTTGTTCAAGCTGGCTTTTGTATGACCTTCTTCACCACTCTCTCTTTATTCTGCTCTCCCCACCTATTCCACCTTCCTCAGGATCCACTGATTCCCCTCTTTCCTATTCACTCTCTCTCTTTCTTAACATTTTTTAATCACAATTGTCTATTTTTGCTCATTTTAAATATATTTGTGACCATTTTCTAAATTCTTTTTTATATTTTTACATTTTTTGTTTTTGTGAAGCGCCTCGTGATTTTTATCTTGAGAGGTGCTATAGAAATGATACTTTCTTCTTCTTCTGTTGAAACTTAGGGAGGCATTTTCTTGGATTGAACACTTAAAATTGTAATTCAAGGTGGAGTTGATGATGATTTTTTTTCTTGGAGCATTTTTACCTTATTGCTTGAAATACTCTTCATATAACAAATGGAAAGCAAAAATTGTTTTAAAAAATTCAAATGTCTCTGAAATGTATAATCCCAGAAAAACCTCATCCAGTCAGTGTAACCCGTTTTGAATGATTGGATGATGGTCCCTCCATCAATACTGCCCACTAAGAAGATTTAGCATTTCAACCATTGCTAAGCTGTGACAAAAGCACAAGGTCCTGACTGCATTGCAGCATCCCCGTCTGAAGGAACTTGACAGATTTTCAGTCTTCTTTTAAAAGAATCAGGTTTTGATGCAGAAACCTGTTTGTCACGGTTCGTTTGGGGAATAATTATCAACATTTTCTTGTTATTTTGTTCCCCCACCACCTCCTTAGTCATGGGAAAGTGTTTCCTTAACAATGGTTGGCTGGAAAACAACTCCAGTAGTTGGTTAAAACCAGCTATGACAGCCAATCACGGGGCTTACTTCCAGTCCAACCTTCTGAACGATTAAGGAAAGTCTGTGCAGTAGTTTGTGGTAGAGCAGAATCATTTAAGGAAAGATTTGTATGCGATTCTTCTTCAAATCAAGGTTCAATGCATTATTTGTAAAATAGTCTCATAAATCACACCATGAAAACATTAAAAGCGACTATTTTCTCCTATTGTTATCTTGTTTAATGTTTTTTTATGTTCTTGTGGTGCAACTTGTGACTTTTATCTAAAGAGGCGGATTTAAAAGAAGAACCATCTGATTACTGGATAGACTCCCTCCTGAGCTACTGCTGCCTCAGGTGCTGAAGTCATTAAGGTGCTATTAGTGCAGAATAACCGTTCAGGTTTGAAGAGTCCAAGTATTGTAAATTTTTTATTGGAGCAGAGTAAAGATGCTCAGGGAGTGGAAATATTTGTTGGAATTGCCCTTCTGACTCCGAAACAAAAAGAGAACCTACTTCAGCTTCGTCTGGTACGTCATTTTATTTACTTATTTATTTATTTATTTGATTTTTGTAAAAATTTAATCTCTTGTTCTACATTTAAATAAATAAATAATTACACCAACAAGCAACCTGACTTTTTCCATAAGCAGGGATGGTACACATAACTAACACCTGAACTGGCTCCAGCATCAAGTGTTCATCCATCCATTTTCTTCCGCTTGTCGAGTCGGGTCGCGGGGGCGGTAGCTTAAGTCGAGAGGCCCAGACTTCCCTCTCCCCAGCCCCTTGGGCCAGCTCCTCCGGGGAATCCTAAGGTGTTCTCTGACCAGCCGAGAGACATAGTCTCTCTAGCGTGTCCTGGGTCTCCCTTTAAGCCTCCTCTCGGTTGGACGTGCCCGGAAAACCTCACGAGGGAGACGTCCAGGAGGCGTCCTGACCAGATGCCCGAGCCACCTCAACTGGCTCCTCTCGATGTGGAGGAGCAGCGAATCTATTCTGAACCCCTCCCGGATGACCGAGCTTCTCACCCTATCTCTAAGGGAGAAACCAGCCACTCTGCGGAGAGAACTCATTTTGGCCGCTTGTATCCGCGATCTCGTTCTTTCGGTCACTACCCTGTAATGAATTAAATTACATGATATTTAATGAGCCATAAGGCGTGGGATTCCATAGGAAATATGAAATCCACCTTGCGGATCTGTGAAGTTATTTAAACCAGAAGATTGGAACTTTTTATTGCAGGGATTAGATAACCGTTCCGTATTCACTCAGAAACAACAGAAGAGAGAGAGTTAAGTTTAAAAGTTAAGAATTTTATTACTAACAAATTAAACTAGACTGACTTTAAAACTAAATGTATGGTGTAACTAAGGTGGATGAGACGGTGGATGGGATGACGTGTGATGTTGTTCAGAACCAGCAAATCCGAAGAAGCGATTAGTTCTGATGGGAACTGAAGGTGATGTCTTCGCGTTAAGCTTTGGTTAGGAGGTTCATAAACACATTTGACGCCATTTTTCGGTCTTCCTACCCTTCAGGAAGCCCCCGTTAGATCAGGAGGTGTAAAGGTTCAGCTTGACCTTATGGAGCCGGAGCTCGTAGAAGAAGAAACGGCAACCGATAACTCGTCTTGAGATACTTCCGGGTCACGAAAATTTGTTGGCATCTGATGAGACCCGAGCCTGGGTCTTGATGGTTCAGCTTTTATTCTGAAAGGAACCGTTGCAGCAGTTGGAACAGCAACAGATTTTATCCAGCTTGTCGTTAGTTCTTTTGGCTGAAGAGGAAAGTTACGGATTGGCCACTCCGACAACTTCTCTAGAACGCTTTGAACTGGCGTTAAAGATGACGTGGGCATAGTTTTACACTTCAGATGTTTTGGTTTATGGTCGAATGAAAAGTTGACAGATTTACCAAACACCACCAAAACCACGCCTCTGTCAGATCTGGCAGATTCTGATTGGATCAGTAAAAGCAATGTGTCGTGTCTTTTAACGCTACGTGAAATCAGTCCTTTTGGAACATTTAAAGTCATATTACTTATTATATTCTATAGGATTATAATAAAGTAATTAGTATTTTGATTTCACAGATCGGTCACAACTTATTTATTGACTAACACTTGGTTGGATTAGCTTCATTAAAATAGAGTTCTTTGATTAATTAAAAGAAAAGAGTTCATTCTTCATTCTTCTATTGAGCTGAAAATAAGCAGGTTAGAAGTGAATGCATGAGACCTTGAGACCATCTCATGCAGACTAGTCCTGTGTCAGAGGAGGGGGAAAACAGTCATTTCATTCTGTTACATATCCCAGCCAAACAACCACACAACCCAAAGCTCATG